GAAGTAGCAAGGAAAAAGAAATCTCTCACCTTCCTTCCACTCTTACAATTTCTCGAAGAAATACTCACAATTGTTACACACTAATGGAAACTCTCTAACCTCTAGGGCCTTTCTAACATCCAGGACCTTCCAGGCTCTCCAGGACCTCTTAATTTTCCGACAAAATGTTTTTTTAAAGTTGTGTTTTAAAGTTGTGGATGAGCTTTTCCAAGAGTTGCATAAGCATCCCTTCAAAATTTGGCCTTATCCAAAGCTTGAGTAAGCATAATCGTCGATCTCACCGTCGACGGCCTTGAGAGCGCCGTCGGCGGGCTTCTGAAAATTTTGTCCTGTAGTCTCGGGAAAAACTCGTCGTCGGCGGCCTAGTTCAAATCTTCACATTTTGGTTCTTTCCGCTCCAAATTGGCTCCTTTTTGTATCTTTGTGCTCCAATGACCCTAATTCATCATTCCTGCAACAAAACATAAAAAATATATTTCTTTAAAGGGCAATATCATTAAAAACAGTATAAAATAGGTATGAAAATCTCAACATATTTTCCTTTGGTCACTGTGCTTAGAGAGACGTCAGCTTTTTTTGAAGGACAACCTCCAGAGCCCAAACCACAACTAACTCTTTCTCCAAATGCCCCGGCTGCGTGTCACGAAGACGATTGTCTTTTTATGTCAAAGAGGTATGGGCCCCGTTAAGATGAAGTTTGTCCGAGGTGCATGGTTCAGATAAACTGGTCATTCTTGTATGATCAACCCCAAGACACTCTGATTCATCTTTAAGCAGCTCTCTAGAATGTTAGGAATCCTCGGCTGACCCTAAATCCGACACAACACCAATTTGAGAAGCCCCGCACTCAACAGGGGGCAAAGTCCTGATACCCTCGCTTGAAAAGGGATCCAAAATTTGATCCAGATCAGAAGCATTGAAGTAACATGCTTCTCTTTCAATCTATGATATTTTCCTAGAGAGGGTTGGGAACAATTCTTTGATCAGTCGTCTCCAGCGCTGCTGGAGGTATCAGATAGAAGCTCAGCCCCTGATCCAGTCTTTCCGCTTGTTCAGGAAAGTTCAAAGGGTTCCCCAACTGATCAGTCTGATTTTCCATCGTGCGATGCTTCTTTGCTTGGAATCCTCCTTTTTTCATCGAGGACCCCCCTACAATACTAATGTTGTGCAAATTTGACAATCATATCTCAACCACTGGTTTTAAAGCTTTTGGCTTGGGCACAATGTGTTTGTCAAGTTGTTCTTCCTTAGAAGCTGTCTTTGCCCTCTTCTTCATGGCCTGAAGCACCAACGTGCGAGCCTCTTTGTTAAAGGATATAGAATACTATCTGCCCTCCATATTTCAACACCACTGAGAAGAGGAAAAATATACACTGAAAGAACGCTAGAAAGGTGAGTCCCTTCATTTCATTTTCTTTATTTATAATGGTTTTAACATAGAAACCAAGTAATAGTTAATTATTGCACATTAAATAGTCATGAATAACACAAACTTGTTGTAAAAATTTAAAAATTCTCTTGTTCTTAGTGACGTTGTCACTATCAAGTAGCAAGAGAATCGGAAACATTTAATATCTACAATAAAAATGTGTTAGCACAAATCTAAACAATATCTCGCGGTCTCTAGAAAAAGTGACATAACATCACAGGGCCCGCCAAAGATTATCCAAAACCACACGCTTAACCAGCCTTCTCTCACATATCGTGAGGATAACACTCCAAGACGAATAGGAAACCAACTCCTAAAGAGTCTATATGACAAGTTTCATGCAGATGAATCCAGCATCCTCCGTCCTGGACGAACCAAATGGACAAAACAGATCGTTAGTTCCAGAGTAATTGGCACAGGTCCCAACATTACGCCACCCGACGTAACCTAGTGTCCACCCAGTTTAGAATCCACTCGGCCTAGTGGCCGCCTGGTCAAATGGCCACCCTGCCTAGTAGCCACTCGACCTTGAGCCGCTTGACCACGTCCGGTCGGATGTCTGTGGGCCCCACGAGCCATATTTATGTATATTCTAAAATGCATTTGTCGTACTTACATATTCTAAGGTTACAATATGTAATTGTAAGATGACATATATCTATAAATAAAGAGTACAATTCATAAATAAATATTACATAATTTTACTCTTCAATATTGTGCTATTCTCTCTTTGTTCGCTCCATATTTCGTGCTCTGCTTTTTAGGCGTATCTCCAGGACAGATTTGGATTCAAAACTTGAATATATTATCTGATTAAAATAGAAGATAATAAAATTTTTGAAATTAAAATATTACAAAAAAATTACATAATTTTTTTTTCTTAGAACCTTTTTCAAGAAAATACCAGATGTGAACCAAGTAGCCTTCCAAATGCAGATTAGTTTCACATTTTTGGTGACAGGAATCGAGTCTACATGGACATGAGGTTCACCTGAAAATAATAAGGGAAATTCACATGCATATCATATAATTTCTAGGCATTTATATATATTTCTATCATCTAAAATTTAATATTTACATTTATCACATTTAAGTGTTAAATACATATGCACGGTAATATGTTTTTCATTTACAAAATTCATAATAGTCATATTTTTTATGTCCTATTAAAGATTCAAATGTTATTCATACATTGAATTTTTTAATGATGTAGGGTCTCATATCGTTTGAGAGTATATACAACTTGAAAAAAAGACCTTATTTCGCCCAGAGAGAGCAAGCGATAGATGTATGAGATTATTTTGAAAGGATCTTCGTAGATAAGCTAGGAAGTGGTTCCTTCAAGATTTTCTCAATTATAGGTTTTTGGAAAGGAAGAGTAAGAGAAAAATGAATCAATAGTTCAAGATTGAGAATCACTCGGTTGAGGAAGAGAGGATCCGTCCGAGAGTCATATTCTATCTTTTCCTCCCCGTTTCTATTCATGAGAGGGGAAGATTATAGAATCGTAGATACCAAAATTTCAAAAATCGGATCGGGTCGATCAGTTCAACCATGAATCAATAGCTAGTCCGACCGTTTGAACAACCGGTCCAACAAACTAGGCGGTAACATTAAGAATTTATTTTTAAGAAATTTTATAAGCCTAAAATAAGACGACAAACACACAAGGTGGAAAAGCAATGTGCTATTCCTGTAGCTGTCCATACACCCATGCCTTTCAATTTAAAGAAAAAGTGTAACTAAAGATTTAAAGATGTGCAACTAAATTATAAAGGCTAAAACAGTTTAATAATATTTTGCTATTTGCCCAAAGTTTTTGCTATTATAAATTATTTTCTTCTATAATTTAGGAGACCACAAAATACAAATGGCTAAATTTGAATATATATTAATGCTATAATAATCTTAATAATATGTTACCATATTTAATTTCTATCCACTATAATTTTTTTTTTAAATTATTATGATGTGATTTTTATATTTCATATTAAAATTTTTAAAATTAATTATTCTTATCTTTTAAAATAACATGCTAAAATTATTATGATGTTGGCTACATAAAAGTTAAGATATATATATTATACTTCACAATGATTTTTTTTAATATTATATCATTTCTGTCACATTTAAATAAAATTATAATTTATTACGTCATTTAGAATTCCTCTAATGTCTTGATGGAAATGTTGTGAAAAACGACGGCAATTAAGTGAAAAATCGGATCAAGAAAAATGCAAAAACAAAAAAGCAGCGGAACACACAAATTTACATGGTTCGGCAAAATTGTCTACGTTCACAATGCTGCATTACTTCAAGAATTACACCGTCGATCAAGTCGACTTACATGAAAACTCTCTCTCACCTCCTCTCTCTCTCTCCTCTCCTTCTCTCTCTCTCTCTCTCTCTCTCTCTCTCTCTACCCGAGAGCAACTACCAAGGAAAGGATCTCGAACAAAAGGAAACTGGAAGGGGAGAGGCACTTGGCTGCTTGCGATGAATGAATTTAAAGCCAAATTAAAAAGCCCACTTAAAGAAGCTTTTAATTAACAAATCCTACAATAAGCAACAGGCGGGATCCATGTTTCCTTTTCTCTTAGCAATCAAGGCGGGACCCTTCACATCAAATAAAGGAGGTGATTAATTCCTTAATTTCATGATTCCAAATTAAGCATGGAATCATATCTTAATGGCCCATTAAGGCAATGCCATAATTCACGAATTCTCGAGAGGGATAAGGCGGGACCAGCAGCTTAATTAATAGAAGGAAGGGAATTTAAAATAATGCAATTATTTATAAATAGTTTCCTAAAATGCATTAAAATCCGCTCAATTTATATGTAGTTGATCTGGCTCCAAATAACCCAACAAGAAATCTCATCATGGAGATGTTAAGTATTATCAGCTAATATCCTAGAACATCCCGATGAAAGGATGAAAGGATTGGAATTTCAGTGTCGGACAACGTCTTTAATAATTGATTGACAAACATCCTTATCGAGTATAATGACTTCTTTGGACTACTGCCTTCGTAGATGGGTCAGGTTATTTTTCTAAGGAAGATAAGGATGTTTGGACCAACTATTTCGACATAGAAAAATAACCTGAGATGTTTGGACCAACTATTTCGATATGCGGACTTGATTCAGCCACATAAGCAGGTAGACTCGATTTAACTACTTTGCGAGGTCAGTTTGGATCAGCAACTTTAGCATGTGGGTTCGATCCTGTAAAATAATTTTTAGCGAAAATTTCCGTTTATCGGTATTTGAGTATACAACGTGTAAAAATGAAACTTTAGATAATAAATATACAAATATATAAATACATGAAAATTGGGTAGTATCCAAGTAAAAATACACAATAAAATTGAAAGCAAAAAATAAAAATAAAAAAATAAAAAAACTCAAACAAAAGCTCGCAATTCTTTAATGCTGATTAAGAGATTTAATTAAGCTAAATTGTCAGCTATATACATTAACAAATATTTAAATTAAAAAACAAGAAGATTATTGTGCGAATAAAAAAAAAAAATCAATAATCAGATGAAAAAACATTTTTTTTCCTTCATTCATCCTTTCGGGTACCGAATGATTCTCTGCAACACCACAGCCCTGGCCATCCTTATATCCCTGCTACAACGATCAGCCTGCTCCCCCAAATCCTCAATGCTCTTCATGAAAACTCCAAGCTTCCTTCTAATCTCCTCAACCCCAAACCTCACAGCGTTTTCTTCTTCCGAAGTAAAATCCACACAGTGAAGCAAGGAACTGATCTGAATCACCAGCTGATCAACCATTACTCTGATACTCTCCAAATCTTTAATGGCCACAAAGGTCCCAACTTGCATGGAGCTCATGACCTCCTTCTCCCCCATAAATTCGTCCTCATAATGCTTCAACAGAGAATCAAACCACCTTCCCATCGACCCCAACGGTACAGACGAGGCTGCAGCCAAAGCTTCCGCCACCGGAGGGGC